CAGTTTTTCTAATCATCCCCTTCTTTAGGGAAGCAAGGGAGAAAAAGTTGAGGTTTCTCAGGAGAAATCAGGTCAGTATTCTGGCTCCCATTTTATAGTTGGAGGGGAAAGACTGAGGAAAGAGGCTTTTCTAAGTCACATACTAAGCAAGGTCCACTGGATCTAGGCCCATGTGCTTCCTGGTATACCATACACATCCTCTCTAGCTGGGAAAAACACCAGGAGTAACAACCTAGCTGTCTAACACTACATGCAAGTTTTTTGTTGTTTTTAAATATTTTTTTTAGTTGTAGATGGACACGATATTTTTATTTTAAAATTTATTTTTATATGGTGCTAAGGATCGAACCCCGTGTGCAAGGCAAGTACTCTACCACTGATCTACAGCCCTAGTCCCGCAAGGTTGGATTTTATTGTATTTTGCATAAGATAGAATTGTTCCAAGAATTTCAATCAAGTGTTCATCAAAATAAGTACAACTGGGGGTGGGGCTAGTGCTGTGGCTCAGTGGTAGAGCACTTGCCTAGCATGTGTGAGGTACTGGGTTTGATTCTCAGCACCACATAAAAGTAAATAAGATTGTACCAACTACAACTAAAAATTTTCTTTTAAAGTGCAGCTGTTAATATTTGGGTCAGGGACTGAAATGAATATTTCGTATCAAGAAGAGAAAAATATTTGTCAACCAAGATGCCTTCTTAGGACTCTTCTGGAAAAAAGTTAATGGGAACGTTTTTCATGTCTACATTTTGGTAAGCAATATTGCTAATGGCTATTTTTGCTCTGGGCCTCTTGCTCCATTTTCTAATCTGGAAAGTGCATTTCTGGGCTGGTGTGGAGCATTACCTAGGAGTTGGGTTTCCTGGGTTCCTTTCATCTGTTCTCCTGCAATGCAGGGGGAGCCTAGCCTGGTCTCCAGTTTCTGACTGGAGTTACCACAGGCCAAGAGAACTGCTAACCACTGAGCTGTGAGTAATTTGCTTTTGAGAAGTAAATAGAACCTTGCCAGTAGAAAACCCAGGGGTGTGGCCAGTAGTTCTTTTCCCAGGCTCCTCCCTCCCCACCCCCCAAATGACCTTAACCTTTTTTCATAGCTGGACAGCAGCCAAGTCCAGCCTAAACAATACTCTCAATCTCATTGGTTCTTTTGCCTTTGCAGACACTGCCACCCCCAAGTGGTTAAGGCCTTCCCACCAAGCCTCTCAGTGGAATCAGGGTTTTCTAACTACTGAAAGGCAAACAGGGAAGGGTGAAAAGTGTCCCCAGGGCTTTGAAGCATCAGTGTTTGGCTCCTATGATTAGAGGCAGGGCAGGTTCTTTGACCTAGGGGGGATGGGCATCTTCAAGTGATCCAGCAGAAATCAAAAAGGATGTTTTTGGTAAATGTTCAAGTCCCGATTTATGTCACCGCAGTTGTGAGGATGGATGTAAACGTCACCCAGCATCCTTTGAAACTGCCATTGAACACCCTTTTATCTACAGTGAAAAGAAATAGCATAAAGTTCTGGTAAAGCACCATTGCCAGGAATCAGGCTGGTGTGGTCACTTTTGCCCCACAAGGGCATGGCCTTAGAGCCAATATCCCAAATGAGGGTCGGTTACTCCAATTCCATTCAACAGGGACTGTAGCAAGTTTAGTGTTTGGAAACAGCAATTGGGAGTAGATAGATACATACACTGGGCTGTCCCTCTGCTTGGCCTGGGGCCAAGGTCTTCTCCAGATGTGGAGGCAGGAGCAAGGTAAGACTGGTACAGGATGAGTTGTCAGAATGCTCCTGGAAGGTGAGTGCTCCATGAGAACTATCTATATACCTTCAGTGGGAAAAATTACTCCTCATCATTTGCTTTTTTTTGGGGGGGGTATTTTTATTATTTATTTTTTTAGTGCTGGGGATTGAATATAGGGCCTCACATATGCTAGTCAAACACTCTACCACTGAACCACAACCTGAGTCCTTTTTAATTTTTTGAGACAGGGTCTTCCTAAATTGCCCAGGCTGGCCTCCAATTTATGATCCTCCTGCCTCAGCCACCTTCCTGAGAAGTTGGGATTACAGACATGTACCGCTACACCTGGCTATAACAGCATCTTTATTAAACACTTTATGCCAAGTACCATAAATCCTCTGAGGTAGATATTATCATCCCCAGCAGGGAAAGGACTGTGTCTGTTTTGCTTAGTATTACATCCTTATCCCATCACATGGTGTGTACTCCTATATTGTTGAATAAATCAAACAGGTAAGAGAAGAATTTGGCAGAGGCAGGAGATATTTAGACTTGGTGTGCCCTATATAGAATTCTTAGCATAGCCCATAAAGATGCTGAGCTGTGTGGAACAAAGAGAAGTAAAGAAATAAACCTAGGAAAGACTAACAGCACAGAGTGATAGGATTAATCTTGGAAAGCTCAAACCACCTGAGTTCAAGTCCCATCTTTACCATTCACTGAGTGAATTCAGGTCAGTCACTTCCCCTTTGGTGATCTTAGTTCCCTTGTCCATAAAATATAGATACCAGGTTTAACAAATTGACTCATGCACCAGAACTTAATTGGAGACACAGTCCTGAGCACTGGGAATACATTGGTGAATGAGACCTCTGCTTTTCTATTACATTCATCTAACATTCCAGAAGAGAGAAACAGATAATGAGAAACAAGAAAAATTGACAGACAGGATAGGCAGGTGGTGTTAGGGTGCTATGAAGAAAATGGTGATGAGATAATACAGGGTAGTGGTGGTGGCTGAATAGTCAGAGAAAAACCCCTCTGAGGAGCTGACATTTCCACTGATACCCAAATAAGGTGGACTGACCAAAAGATAGTATGGAGGTAGAATGTTTCAAGCAGAGGAAAAGAGCAGAGAGCCAGGCAAGTTCAAGGAACAGAAATGATGTAACCCTCTTGAATTCTAGGATTCTAGAAATGAGAGTGCATTGCTTGTATTGTTTGGGATAGAGATTTGTATTATGAAAATGTTTCTTGGTGGTATGGGATATTTGTTTCTTAATGGAAGTGGCTCGGGGATGGCTGTCTCACTTGCTTTCCACAGTTCTGGTAGCTCAGCTGTCTCCTGTGTTGATGCAGGCTCCATTTTAGCTGCATACTCTAAAAGCAGCCTGAAAAGAGCTGCCTCCTTCACCACTCTCATTCAACACACAGTCTTGGAGCCCCAGAACCCCCTCCCATTCCACCTAGCCGCCTTACAATCTGAAGAGCCAGGGAGCCAGGCTTTGAGAGCACAAGATTCAGCTTCCTTGTTTTCCTGTCGGAGCAGGAGCCAGAAAATAAAACAGGAAACAGAGCGGAAGAGGAGGGGGTTGGGCAGCAGAGAAGGTAGGGCAAGAGAAATTGCAGGAAAGTATAGGTAAAGGTCTGGACAAAGTTCTACCTCTAAAGGGTGACAGTTGAGCTTTTAGAAAACACTCTGACTTGTCACAAGAGAGCCCTTGCCTTTTTACAAATAGATTCTGGAGGAAAATTTTATGTGGACAGAGGGAACACTGAGAATGCATGTCTTTTTTCCCTTGTGAATTCACAGAGCAAGGGCAGTTCATTTCTCAGTTTTGTCCTTTCAAACAAGTGTGCTGCTTGGAGCCTCACTGGGCTTCTAGAGATTCAAGTCACAACCTTGGGCCTCAGTCACAAGAGTGCCCCGAGGCTTTGCCATTTTACTCACAAGCCTCTGGAGTGAGAACAAATGAGTGCCACTGAAAAACCTGGGGGAAGGGCCTTCTAAACTCCATTTTTCCCCTTCTTCACCACACAACCACTGAAATGTGCCCTGGACTTTATCCACCTTACGCACAACAAATATCAGGGGCAGTTTAGGTCTTAGGGCCTGAAATGAGTTGTAAAATAATCAAAAGATAGTCCTTGGTCTCCACAACACTGATGTGGGCCAGTTTTCTTTGCCTGAAGAGATAGCAACCATCTCTTTGTTCCCACCCACACCAGTGGCTGTTGTAGAAGATAAACCCCTCCCTCAGCCCGGCTGTGGCCAGAGGCTAACCCGGACCTTGGCTACGTTTGGAGGGCAGATAACCGAAACCACAGAAGGCTTTGGAAGCCCAAGAAACAAGAAATCCGCCAACGGAGAAGGATTTATTATCTGTTTCCTTTTAGGAGGGAGCAAAGTTGTTCTAACAGTTTCCGTTACAGGGGAACCAACTGGTCGCCCCTCCCTAACAGACGGTTTATTAGAGTTAGCTTCCTCCTTTTCTTTTTTGGCCCCACTTCCCAGTAGAGAAACGGAGTGAGGGAGGAGAAAGGAGTCCTGGGGGTGCTCTCTGCGGCTTCCTTTACCATGCTCATTGGCCACCTCAGGTGGGGCTTGGGTCTGAAACAGGACAGAGGTCGCTGGAAGGCAGGAGGGGAAAGTGAGGGGGATCCCCCACTTTCTTCACACCCAGGACGCAGGGTGCCGCTGCTAGCCACAGAAACCCCAAGAAGGCTTTTCTTTGCCTTTTCAGAGAATGTATATTTTGTGCCAGGTCCCGTGCTGAGTCGTCGTTGCCCGACACCAGGGAAAGCACGGCCCAGGCTTCTGCGAAGAGGTCGTGGGGCAGTCCCCAACTACTAGAGCCTCCCCCCACATGGGGAACTCAAGTGAGCGCTCACGGGGTGGAACAGGGACTAGAGCGCAGACGCTGACACTGCAGCCCCGGCACAATGACTGAAGTCGAGGTTTAGGGGGTGGGGAAGAGGCACAGTGCGAGAGAAAACTCCTCAGGTGTCACACCAAGGTGGGAAGGTGCTACGCCAAGCCGCGCCGGGCTTCGGTCCCCGCCCCGCTCGCCCGGAATCAACATGGCTGCCACGGAGGGAGGCGGAGCCACTCTGAGTCTGGGCAGGAGCGGGGCGGGGCCGCCGTCGGCGAAGCCAGCGCGCAGGCGCGGGCTGCGCAGGCCCCGGATGGAGGTGCTGTAGATCGTCCCGGAGGGGGAGGACCGGACGGGCGGGCGCGGAGGGTTGGGACGCCATCTCCGGAGCCTTGGAGTTCTGGGGGGAGGGAAGCTGTCAAACCGAGGCCGAGAGAAATGAGGCGGAGGCTGCAGAGAACCGTGGAGCCCCGCCTCTCTGCCATGGCGGCCTCCGGCGCCGCCTCTTCCTTTACGGCCTCCCGCCCTCGCCTGCTTCCGGCCCTGTAACCAGTCCCGACTCCGGCTCCCTCGGGAGTGTCCCCGGGGCCGAGGCTCGTTTGGGGTGAGGGTCGACGCCCCGACCCCAGTAGGGCCTGTGTCCAAAAGCAGCAGGCTCCGGACATGGCAAGGCTGGCAAAAGGCGGCTCCTGGCTCGGGACGGCCCGCGAGGCCTTAGGCCTTGAGGATCCTGGTTCTGAGCGACTTTACCCCACCGAGGATGTTAATTCGAGGGCCTCCAGTTAACAGGCTTCCTCAAATTCCCAGATAGGGCCCACCTACCGTAAGCGTACCAGCAAGAGCTCTTATCATTGGAGGAAGTACTGGACTAGGCTTTGGAGACCTGGGTTATGGTCCTGTGTGGGAAAGAGAGTGTACCCTTTGACTGGGGGTGAGGTTTAAAAAGCAGAGAACACGAGACTCTTTTTAAAGTCGTCTCGGTTGCGTCGCGTGGCCTCGGTGAGCCTCAGTTTCCACATCCATAAAATGGCGATGGTAATTATACGGGCCTTACAGTGTCTAATGAGATCTCTGAAGCCTGTTTATCTCACGGGAAAATAAAAGACTAAAACTATTTGATCCGTAAGTGCCCTGCCAGTCAAGAAAGTCAGTGATTTGGCAAGGGCCTTGTTTGTTGGAAAGTGAGATTGGGAAATAGCTGAGAGGGAGAATTGACTGGCTTTCTTTTGCTTGTTGTATCTGTGAACTAATTGTGGGCTACAAATTTCCTGTGGTCGCAGAGGCCAGAGCTTGACTCTGAAAAGAGGAAAGGAAGAATCAAGTCTGGTCAAGAGGCAGAGGTGGGTTAAGTGCTTTTTTGTTTGCAACTTCTCTTCTGCGTGTGGGTGGGAAGCCAAGGATGATAAAGTGAACTCGCCCTGGGATAGAGAGGAGCATCAGTGTGAGGTTGGGTTGTGCCTGTGATTTCTCTTGATTCATCGAGTGAGATGTTGAGGATATTGGGCAGATTCACAAAGTATCGCCGCTCTCTGAGGATTTCAGAAGCTTACCTTTAAAACTGAATTTTCCTGAGAAAACCGATAGAGTTAGGGGCCCCTCCCTTCCTCCTGGCATGTTGATGGAGTAAGCAGCAAGCGCCCCCTTGTGCCAAGAAAAGAGTACTGTTGCTTTCGGCCAACTTGACTCCCTTTCTGGAGAAATTTTATTTTCCTCTGGCTTCTGTGACTTTGTCATATTACTCTTAACGTGAAAGGAGAAATACCTGGAGCAGTGATTTTATATCTCGAGTTAGCGAACTAGTGATACTGTGCCCTGTCCCTACTACTGCTCGTTCAGAATACGGGCTTGTATCCTGCTTGTATACTAGTTCCTGGGAATACAGTTGTGCTATGAAGCCCTGTCCTCACAAACAGCCTAAACAAGCAGTGTCAGAGGGCAGTGAAGCATGGCACGTCTAGTTGGAATTCCAGAAATAATTGAAACTTACAGGTTTGGTAGGTATTTGCCAGCTAAGAGAAAAAAGAGCCTTCCAGTCTTCCTTGTTAAAATATGTCTGCTTCAACATTTTTTTTTCCTTTTAGCTAGACATAGTTATTCATCCCAAATCAACAAACTGTTTCTGATGTTCTTGCCCTCTTTTCTGATTTCCCAGGCTAGTGTTTGAAAGTTCTGAAGGAGCTGTTACTACTTTGCCCAAGAAATTGTAAAAAATGTCTTAAAATGCATTCTGTGCCTCACAAAGGGTTTGAATTATTTATACATTGCTACCATTCCAAAAAAGAGATGGGAAATAACAGTTTTCTTCATCTCTAGTAGTAGACTTTGTCTTCGCCCTAAGTTTGTTTTAGCAATGGGAGCTGGCTGAAGTCCTGCTGAGTAGTGGTTTTCTTTTCCTTCTCCACTTAATTTAACAGACCAGCTGAACACACATCAGAGAGCTAAGCTGGCATGTGTAGTAATTATGGCCTTCTAGTATGGTTCTGTGCCCCACTTTTGGGACTCTGGTTTGGGAGCTAGTTTATTATTCTGGGCAAGAGGGAAAGGTCACACATCAAATAATAGCAACCACAACATAGATGTGTGTAGTACTTCACATGGTAGCCCATTACACCATCATGACAGTTTTGTGACAGACAAAAGAGATAGTCAGATCCCATTTTATACATAAAAGAACTGAGGCTTGGTGAATAAATGAGAACTTGCAAGTAACAGGACTTAAACTCAGATCTTTAGTTCCTACATAGGAACACTGAATAGACTACACACACACAAACCCCTGCCACCAGCACTGGGATTTATACTCAGGACCTTGTACATGGTGGCCAAGTGCTCTACTACTGTGCTACATACATCCCCAGACCTTTTTAAAATTTTATTTCTAGACAAGGTCTTGCTAAATGTCCCAGGGTAACCTCAACTGGTGATCCTCTTGCCTCAGACTCCTGAGCCACTGGGATTACAGGTATTTGACACTGTGCCCAGCTTCAACAGGCTTTGAAAGGTTTTCTATGAGCTTACTTTTACAGCTTCATATTTATCTGTGAGGAAGTTGTCTGACAAAAATACACTGCTTCAGAGTGATACCCAGTGGTCCTATCTGTCTTTAAGATACTCCTCTCTGGGAAGTTAGGTGGTCACATGTGTCATAGTAATGTTAAAGGGGGAGAGTCCTATGAAGAATGTTTTAAACATTTGCTTTTGGTCCATGTATGATATTTTCTTCCTTGGATTTTGGAGTTTAGAAACCCGAGGAAACTCAGTTCTGGTAGCAACACTCCTGGATTCCTGGTGGTGTGGTGGTGAGATTATGTGGCCCCTGGATCCATCACGGAAAGAGGTGCTTAGGTTTGCGGTCAGCTGCCGTGTCCTGACTCTGATGCTGCAGGTCAGTCTCTGATTCTTAGTCCTGATCATGCTGTTGTTACATAACTGGACGATGCACAAAGAATAGACCCCTTCTCTTTTCTTTTTTTTTTTTTTTTGATAGAATTTGGGTTCAATCTATCGCTTGGATATACTACTTATTTCTCTATATTGCACTGTATCAAGCCCCAATTTCCCTCCCGTTATCTCATTTATACAAATAGTAGTTTCTTTTTTTTTTTTAAGGGGGGGGGAGAGAGAGAATTTTTTAATATTTATTTTTTAGTTATTGGCGGACACAACATCTTTGTTTGTATGTGGTCGCACTACCGCTTGAGCCACATCCCCAGCCCCGACCCCTTCTCTTTTCTACCTGCCTGTTGTGCCCCTCCACGTGGTTAGAACCATAGAAACCTAGACTTCATAGCTGAAAAGTCAGCAGGAATCTTATAAATTACTCTAATCCCCTTTTACTCATGAAGTAACAGAAGTCCAGAAAGGTTAAATGACTTCCCTAGAATTATAGAGAAGGGCCAGAGTTAGACCTCAGGTTTCCTACCTCTGAAGGTAGTAGTCTGCAATAACCATAATCTTATGATCTTTCTCGACAAAGATACTTTTAGGATTTGAAGCTCAAAGTATTGGACTACCAGAAGACTGAACAGTATATCAGTCAGTTGAGTGGGAGGGAGGTGGCACTGTGTAAGTCCTGAGACCATCTGTGTATATTCATTTGTCAGTAATGGCTCCTTCTCTCCCCTTAAGAGTCTTCCCTTGCTACCTCACCCACATATATGTGTCTTTGCCCCTTTTCAACTCCCATTTCCCCCAAAGCTGCCCTTGATATACATTTTAATCAAATTTTACATATATATTAACTATTCAGTGCCTAGCACAGTGCCTGGTGCCAGTAGGTCCTTAATATTATGTTTACAAATGAGTGAATCATGTTGAATGTTTCAACTCCTTAGAGATGTAACATTAAATAATTATATATGCCTTTTTATTACCAGCACCATTCTCTGTGAGGCTCCTAGCTGGTTCCTTTGTGGAAACCACCTTCCCTATCTCTTCCTCCATTATATCAGGCATAGCAGGCTCCGTTGTATTCCAGGTTTAGTTAAAGTATCTTCAACTTGGAGGCTAGGGCTATTATCTGTGACTGTCATTCCTGTCCCATTTGTTATACTGTTTGAAGTGACCTGATAAAGAATCTAATCAGAAAGAGAAATGGGTTAAAGATGAGGTTATGTTCCTACTCCCAGGCTGGGGAGACTGACTCAATGATGTCCCTGAACCAGCCTTGGTTGAGTTATTGGCAGAACCAAAGGAACAGTACTGCAAATCAGCATCTGGGATAGGGAACCAAGACAACTGCATTCTAATTCAGATGGTGATTTTTGTAAACAGTATGTTTTCTCAAGTTCCTGAAGTTCATTCAACCACCAAAATATTATTAAGTACATATTGTATTTCAAGATCTGTGCTAAGATGTGAGTGTAAAAGTTTTTTTCTTAAATAGCTGACAATCTATTGGGGCAAAAAGACCTTCAGCAATAAATGCTATTTCATTGTTTCTTCCTCTTCCCCCTTATTTCCAGATCTAAAACCCATGCCATCAGATTATATTCCTAGTCACTTCATTGTTGCTATCATCTCTGTCAATGACAGTTACTCCTTGAAAGTTTTAGCTCCTGATTCCCTGTCACTCTCTCTGGCATTACTTCTGTTGATGTCTTTGTGGTTTCAATATTAATGAAGATAATATATCCAGTGCTATGGTCCCTTACTTCATTGTCCTGCTACCTTCTAGTGATCTTGTCCTCACCACTCTCACAGTAATACCCTCTACACCCAACCACTTGCTACCAAATTTCAGTTTTAAGCAGCCTATTCTGTCATCACTATCTCCTATCTTTCCTATTATCCCAACTCTTGTAATACTTCTCCTCTGAGGATTTTTTTTTTTTTTTTTGATGGGGGGCAGTACTGGGGATTGAACTCAGGGATACTTGGACACTGAACAACATCTCAGCCCTATTTTGTATTTTATTTAGAGTCACGGTCTCACTGAGTTGCTTAGCGCCTTGCTGTTGCTGAAGCTGGTTTTGAACTCGCAATCCTCCTGCCTCAGCCTCCTGAGCTGCTGGGATTACAGGCGTGCGCCACCATGCCCAGTGAATTAGTCTTTTTTTAATATAAGGTTACTAACTCCAGGGAGTCATCAGTGCCATGTAACAATCTTGGTGTATTCCTTCATAAATTTCTGCACATCAGAAACACAAACAAAAAAATCTAATGCTGTTTAAATCAAATCTGGAGGTGGGACCCCAAGCATCAACATTTTTTTTTTAAAGATAGAGAAAATTTTTTAATATTTATTTTTTAGTTTTCGGCAGACACAACATCTTTATTTGTATGTGGTGCTGAGGATTGAACCCAGCGCGGCATGCATGATGCCAGGCAAGCGTGCTACCACTTGAGCCATATCCCTAGCCCAAGCATCAATATTTTATGGAACTCCCTGGATGATTCCAGTGCTACAGCCTATCTTTGAGAGCCAGGGTCATAGGCAACTTGTCTTCCTTTTTTCTCAAATCTCTAACAACTTCTCCCCATTACTTTCAAATGATAACTTGCCTTCCTGAATGAAAATTCAGAAAAATTGAAGAGACCTTCCACATGTTTCCACCACTTCCATCAGCCTGCCTAAATCTTCACCTTTGTGCCTTCAGTACTGAAGGTTGGATGAATGGTCTATCCTCTTTTTTAGGGCTAGCTCTTCTACCTGTCTAGCAGATTCCATCCCCTATTGTCTGCCTAGCCATTCTTCCCTCTCTTCTACATATTCAATGGTTTTATTTTCACTGGATTATTCCCAATAGCATGCAAATATTTATTTCCAAATCTAAATTCAGCCACCAAAAAATTTTTCTCTTGATCCCACATTGCCATACACCTATTACCCCCTTTCTCTCTTCCCCATCATAGCAAAACACCTTAAAATCATTGACTATGTTCACTGATTCCAATTTCCCTTTTCCTGGTCTCTATTGAGTTCAGTCGAGACAATTCTCTCTTCAATTCCATTGAAATAGTTCTAGTCAAAATCACCAGTGACCTTCACATTGCTAAACCCAGCTCACCCATATCTGTACCTTCACTACTGAAGGTCAGTTTTCAGTCTCCATCTAATTTTGACCTATCGGTAGTGTTTGAGAGTTATTTAACAGAGCTTTTCACTCTCATTCATTCTTCGTGTTTTTTGTTTTTTTTTTTTTTTGGTACTGGAGATTGAACCCAGGGGTGCTTTACCATGAGCTATATCCCCAGCCATTTTTTGTTTTTTACTTTGAGACAAGATCTTGCTCAGTTGCTTAGGACCTCATTAAGATGTGAGGCTGGGGGCTGGGGCTGTAGCTCAGTGGCAGTGCACTTGCCTAGCATGTGTGAGACACTGGGTTCGATCCTTAGCACCACATAAAAAAAAATGAAATATATAAAGGCATGCTGTCCATCTACAACTACAAAAAAAAAAAATTAAAAAAAGATGCTGAGGCTGGCTTCAAACTTGTAGTCCTCCTGCCTCCACCTCCTGAGCCACGGGGATTATAGGCTTATATCACCATCCCTGGCCATCCCCAGTCCTTTTTTTTTAAGTTGTCAAAAAATACTTCTGTACTTGTTCTTCCCCTCTAGGTGATCTCCTTTAGTCTATAAACAACCATACATGCATTTCTGTTGCCAGTTTATCTCTTCAGACCTGATCTCTGTTCTCACCTACAGATTCATATATCTCATAACTGATTGACATTTGTACCACAGAGTCCAACTTAGATATGACTAGTTCAAAACCAAGCTCCTGATTCCCTCCCCGCAAGGTTTTTTATTTAGTGGTAATACTTTTTTTTCATTTATTCAACTGAAATCTTGGTTCTCCTTCACCCCACAGGCCCTCTTCAATGCCATCATCCCAGATCACCATGCAGAAGCCTTTTCTCCTCCCCGCCTAGCTCCCTCAGGCTCTTTGGACCAGCTTGTGGAAGGTCTTCTGGGTGGCCTCTCTCGCTGGGATGCTGAACACTTCTTGTTCATTGCTGAGCATGGATACCTCTATGAGCACAACTTTGCCTTCTTCCCCGGCTTCCCCCTGGTCCTGTTGGTGGGAACTGAACTATTGAGACCCCTAAGGGGGCTCCTGAGCCAGCGGAGTTGCCTGCTTATTTCAGTAGCATCACTCAACTCCTTGCTCTCTGTGCTGGCCACGGTCGCACTTCATGACCTGAGCTGTGTGGTTTTGCGCTGTCCCCGCCAGGCCTTTTATGCAGCATTGCTCTTCTGCCTCAGCCCTGCCAATGTTTTCCTGGTAGCTGGTTACTCGGAAGCTTTGTTTGCCTTCCTGACATTCAGCGCCATGGGGCAGCTAGAGCGGGGACGAAGCTGGACTAGTGGGCTCCTCTTTGCTCTTGCTACTGGAGTGCGCTCCAATGGACTGGTCAGTGTTGGCTTCCTCCTGCATAATCAATGCCGAGGCTTTTTCTCTTCTCTTGTGGTGCTGAACCCCCTGAAACAACTCTTAAAGCTGATGGCTTCTGGGTGCCTGTCAGTTCTCACACTCAGCCTTCCCTTTGCCCTCTTTCAGTATTATGCCTACACCCAGTTCTGTCTGCCAGGCTCAGCCCATTCCATTCCTGAACCCTTGGTGCAGTTAGCTGTGGACAAGGGCTACCGGATTGCAGAGGGAAATAAGCCACCGTGGTGCTCCTGGAAACTTCCTCTAATATATAACTATATCCAGGATGTATACTGGAATGTTGGCTTTCTGAGATACTATGAACTTAGGCAGGTACCCAATTTTCTACTGGCTGCACCAGTGGCTATATTAGTTGCCTGGGCAACTTGGACATATGTGACCACCCACCCTTGGCTCTGCCTCACACTTGGGCTTCAAAGGAACAAGAACAATAAGGCCCTAGAGAAGCCTGATCCTGGCTTCCTCAGTCCACGGGTGTTTGTGTACCTGGTTCATGCTACAGTGCTGCTGCTGTTTGGAGGTCTGTGCATGCATGTTCAGGTGAGGTGGATTCCTATCTGGGATGAGGATGTGAATACAGGCAAAACCCCAAGGACAGGAGAAACAAGTCCCATTTCAGTGACCAGTACTTAATTTATTCAGATAACCACTATTTGAGAGTTTTGTTTGTACAAGAAAGACCCTGGGTCAGACCTCTGAGGATGAAACATGAGTACAATAAAATTGCTGCCTTAGTGACTCCCATGGTACAAACAGGGAGACAGATAAAATTATAGTACAGTGGGATGGAAGTGGGCTTGCTGTTTTGAGATTTAAAAAAAAAAACAAAAAAAAACAGATAAATTATTGTGGAACCAAAAAAAAGAAGTCGCTAACTCACCAAAGGAGTTGAGAAAGATATCATATTTGAGCAGGGTCCTCAAGAGCAAGAAGGAATTTTTTTTACATAAGAAGCAGAGGAGGAATACTCTATGCACAGGGGAGAGCATGAGAGTTTTGAAAGGATGTGAATTAAGCCGAAATTTAGGAATAAGCACCAAAGATATCCTGGGGACCTTTCCCTCATACCCACGTTGGCTTCTGAAGGCACTCTGAGCTCAGACAGGTGCTGTTTTCAGGGGAGATATCTTGTCCAGTGTTGGGGATGATGGCAATACAGAGGATATGGAGAGGTTTGATCTCACATCTAATTTTTTGCTCTTGACTATGGCCCCAGTTTCAACATCCCTTGAGGAAGTCTTTTGTCCCAGTGCTGACCTCTCCTTAGCAGCATCTATCTCTTGAAGACAAGCGTTGGTGTTTGTGAAGTTCTCTGAGCTGTGTGGATAAGAGGGGAAATTAGGAAGTAGCATTCTGTGTTTGTGATTGAATTAACTCATAGAGTGAGTGCCAGCCACACTTAGAATTTCCAGGTTGGTTGGGAGTCCATTTGGAAATGTGGCTCTGAACTTCTGTAAGGGGGAAGTTCAAATCATAGGACCCCTTGCTCCGCCTTTCCCTCAACTTTGCCACCCCTGTAGGATAAGTGACCAGTACCTAATAAGGGAGCCTCCTCAGATTTTCAAGTCCCAAGTTGCTGCCCAAAATATAGATCCACTCCATGGGCTAAAATTAGACTTCATAGAGTGTTTAATGTTGACTGGCCCATTATTGTGGTAATTAATCTAAAGGTGTGGTTATTTATAACATGGAGGTTGCCACGCATGTATCACATCTTTTTTTTTTTAATTTTTTTTTTTTTTTAAAGAGAGAGAATTTTTTAATATTTATTTTTTAGTTTTCGGCGGATACAACATCTTTGTTTGTATGTGGTGCTGAGGATCGAACCCGGGCCGCACGCATGCCAGGCGAGCACGCTACCGCTTGAGCCACATCCCCAGCCCTGTATCACATCTTTTTATAAGGCAGTTTCTTAGCTCTTACTGCATTTCCAGTGTAATTCATTTCCAGTCACTGGGCCGTAGTTTTCCCAGCCTCAGAGAAGCCCCCCAGACTGACCCAGCTATCATCAGTGACATTCCAATAAATGTGTGGGTTTTCTTATTATTATGATTTCTAGGTTCTCACCAGATTTTTGGGCTCCTCCACTCCTATTGTGTACTGGTTTCCAGCTCACTTGCTTCAGAATCAAGAGCCACTGTTGAGATCCTTAGAGACAGAGTCTTGGACTCCTCTTGCGGAAGACTTCCCACCAAGACAAAAAATACCCAGAAATTCTATCATGGAACTTTTGTACAACTGGAAAACCTGCTCTTCAGTCACTCGATATATCCTAGGTTACTTCCTGACTTACTGGCTCCTGGGACTACTCTTACATTGCAACTTCCTGCCTTGGACATGACCTGGAGTCTCAAAGGACAGACTAGAAGCCAACTTAATTCATCTTCTTCAAAGTTAAAAGACAGACCAGGACCAAGCATGGTGGCACACCCCTGTAATCCCAGCAACTCAGGAGACAGAGGCAGGAGGATCATAAATTTAAGTCCATCCAGATAACTTGTTGAGACCCTGTTTTAAAAAATAAAAATGGCTGGGGATATAGCTCAGAAGCAGAGCACCACTGGGTTCAATCCTCATTACCAGAAGAAGATAACACACAGGGACTGCCTGCACTGCCCTGGGATCGTCCTTGTGGGCATTAGAACCCCTTTGTTTTTGGAGACTGGTGAGCCATCAAAGAGCCTTTCTGGTCCTGGCTGGAGCAAATTGTAAGAGTAGTAACTATTTTCACTGTAAGTGATGATACCTTACTCAAGTCTAAAGTACACCTGCATCTGTCTAGTCAACCAACATAGCAGGAGACATTCTTAAACCTGCCACTTTAAATACAGATTATTTAAATGTGCATTTCATCAAAGGCTCTAGCTGACAGTCTGGTGATAGTCCACACAAGATGGTGCAGACTGGACAGTGTGGTAGTAATAGGAAAATGAGACCTTTTTCTCTAAATGGGAAGTTTCTGAAGGTGTTTTTTTTTTTTTTTTTTAAATGCAATTTTATTTAGTTAGTTTTAAGACTTATTCAAAAGGCCACTGGGGTTGTTATTTCAAAGGATGTTCTTCCCCTCATGACACACATTAGTAAATTTCTTTGTAGGAAGAGCTCAGCTTTCCAGTGATATGGAAGAATCTGATTCAGAAGAGCCTGTCTCCGACTGATTCCTCCAGCTTGGGTGTGGTCAGTTTCTCTGTCTTCAGCCTATGAGGCTTTGGGATATTCTCACATGCACCAAGTCTCACCTCACCTTTCTTTCTAGCATAGAAGAAAGACTGATAGAAGGAGAGGGATAGGACCCTCAGACTTCAAGGGTTTTACTCTCCTAGTCTCTTGATAAATTCTGCCCTTGTGAAGAATCAGATGGTCCTGCCCATGAGCTTGAAAAAGGCCTTCTACCTCATATCTTTGCTGTCTTCTAAATCTTCAAGTAAGATGTTATACCCAGGGTCTCTCTTCAACAGATTGTCCTTCAATTTGGAGAGAGAGCAATGACTTCTGCCTCCCTGCTTTTCACACTCTTCTTAATCTTTGGGCTGCTTGATCATTGGCCTCCTCAATGTCATCTTTCAGGACCATTTTGAAGTTGTTTTTTCATTTGTGCATCTGTTTATATGAAAAATCTTACACGCTGGGTGTGGTGGTTCATACCTGTAATCCCAACTCACTTGGAAGGCTGAGGCAGGAGAATCCAAATTTGAGGCCAATCTTAGCTACCTGGAGAGACTGTTTCAAATTTTTATTTTTATTTTATTTTTTAATATTTATTGTTTAGTTTTTTAGGTGGACACAATATCTTTATTTATTTTTTATGTGGTGTTGAGGATTGAACCCAGTGCACCGCGCATGCCAGGCAAGCGCGCTACTGCTTGATCCACATCCCCAACCCCTGTTTCAAATTTTTAAAAATAAAAGGGCTGTGGTTGTATCCCAGTGTTAGCGCATTTACCTCACATGCATGAGGCCCTGAATTTAATCCCCAGAATGGGGTTTGTGTCGGGTGGCTTGCAAAGATAAACAACTTTCTAATTTATACATGAATAGAATTAACTTTTTACAACCAAGAGGGGTTGGGGAGTATAGCTTAGTGGAAGAGCACATGAGGCCCTTAGGTTTGATCCCCTTACAAATTAAATAACATTAGTAATAATGATAATAAAAATCACTTGGAAAAAAAAAGTCAAGGTTAAGAATATGGCCAGAGGGCTGGAGTTGTGGCTCAGTGTTAGAGCGCTTGCCTGGCATGTGTGAGGCCCTGGGTTTGATCCTCAGCACCACAAATAAATAAAAAGAAACAAAAGATCCATTGACAACTAAAAAATATTTTTTAAAAAAGAATATTTGCAGGAGTTTGGGTGATGCTTGTCCTCAGAACAAACCTGTGTATCAGCCATATGACCTTGAGCGTGTTTTCAGGAACTAAGGGAGTTGCTGTTATCACTGGGGCGGGGGGCAGGCGGTTGTAGGTCCTTTTTTCCTGTAAGATCTTGAGGGCTACTTAAACAGAATTACCCCAATCTAAGCACTTATGCACTGACACAAATGTGATTTTAGCCAGGTGCAGTGGTGCACACCTGTAATCCCAGCTACTTAGGAGGCTGAGGCAGGAGGATTTCAATCTAAGGCCAGCCTCAGCAATTTGTGAGAACCCGCCTCAAAAAACAGGCGCCATGGCTCACGCGCTGGGAGCCTGAGGCAGGGAGAATTGCAAGTTCAAAGATAGCCTCAGCAATAGTGAGGTACTTAGCAAATCAGTGAGACCCTGTCTCTAAATAAAAAATACAAAATAGAGCTGGGATGTGACTCAGTGGGCATATGCCCCTGAATTCAATCCCTGGTACCAAAACAAAACAACAAAGGACAAGGGATGTAATTTAGTGGTAGAGCATCCGTGGGTTTAATCCCTACGAGTTACTTGTAGCGGAAAGTATTTCAATTTCTCCTGCTTTTCAACAAGTAGAAGAAACCTCCATCCTCAGGGTGCAATTCTGGAGGAGTAACCAAAGTGATCTTTCCTTTGAACAAGGGAGAACAGTGACACCTGGTGAATAAAGCTGCTTCTCTGCAAGGTAACTGGTGACTGGTTTTCCATCCTCAAGTGCCCTTTCTTGCTTGACTGGTAGGCATGGTAAGAGGAGCCACAGCAGCATGAATGGGTAAATTGTAAATCCAAGGTTGACTGAAATGGCATTTATCCTGCTTCCTGGCACCATTCGATTGGTTACGAGCTATCACAAATGATAGGCGGATCACTGACCCCACTGAGCAATTTCTGCCTATTCCTTGAGCCAGGAAAGAGTTTGATTCTGTGTCATCATCACATCATCATCATCTCTTTTTTTTTTTTCCTTTCATTATCCCTCTTATGCCCCCTTTGAGCCAAAAATTCCAATAAGCAGAAACTTCAAAACAGATGGGTAATCATCAACAGCTTCTGGAAAGCCCTGAGAGTTGGAATTTGGACACACTCCCTCTGACCGTGACAGAAAGCTAAACTTGCCAGCTGAAGGGAAGCTCCTGGCTGAAGCCCAGCACCCTCTGTGGGAGCCTCCGGCCAGCCAGGCCAATAAGCATTCCTACCCATGGCCGCAGCTCTAGCATAGCTGAGCATTTGGTCCAGTGTCAAATGCTTCTGAAAATGTACACACAGATCGGGGCAGCCCTCTGCCTTCTGCCAAGACACTGAGTGCCCTTCTTGGCAAAAGATGATCACCCTTGCCCTAGTGTCCCTCTAGCTGGCAGAAACCATTCCCTCTCTCCTCACCAACAGCTGCAAATCCAGGGACTTCCACCCTGTGTGTGGGGGGGTAGGAGTGGGGAATTGAGGTCCATTTAAGTTCTTTATTGCCGAGCCAGGAGCACTAGGTCCTTTGCTCTTGGCTTCTATTTGCCTCTTTGGGGGGATAATCATGACTGATTGTTTCCTTACTGAAAGAGGTGACTCAAACCCCACAGGGTGTGATTTCACTGCTCTGGCAGTCTCAGCATAGCTATCAACAGGATCTCATCACCCCCAGAAACACTACACCTGAGGACCCCAGCTAGGTGGATGCTTCTGGAGCAACATGGTTTTCTCTCTGACCTTGGAGGTCTAGTTGTTGTTCTCTAAGCATCTAAGGAATTAGTTGATTTTATGGCCAGCAGCTGTCCTTTTACCATCCTATTAACAGTTTTAATGGTCTGGAAGAGGGACATGAAGGGCCCAAGGCAGGAAGCTTCCTGTTTACCCTGAGGTCTAACAATGCCGCAGCTGGGTTGGGTCTACAATTTCAGAGAAGTCATTTCCTTCTGAGACCCTGCTAAAACAGAAACCAGACACTTCGCTTAACTAAAAGTAGAGGGTAATTTTTTTAGTTTTTCTTTTTTTTTTTTTCTTTTATGAAGGTGAGAGGAGAGGGAGTGTTTGACACGTCTTTACCATTCCCCCTGGGGAAGGGGGTGGGGAAGGTCACTCCTTTCCTTGAACAGACCCTCTCATCTTCATCTAAAAATATAATAATGTGCAGCCTCGAGAAATTTGAAATTGATTCTTTCAGCAGTTGTTTATCACTGCCTACTTTAGGCATTGACCAAAGGAGACTCAGCTATCCCTCCTGTCCTCAACTGTCTAATGAATTGCTAGCAGATTCACAGAAACAATAATTAAGGTAGAAAGTAATAAATTCTGGGGAGTAGGATGACACCTATACTTCTTGCTCTCTGTCTCTACTTCAACTATTTTTTTTTGTGTGTGGTAGTGGTGATTGAATCCAGGGCCTTGTATTCGCTAGGTCAGTGCTATACCACTGAGCAACATCTTCAGCCTTTCTCTTATTTTAATTTTGAGATAGCAATTTGCTAAGTTGCTGAGGCTGACTTTGAACTTGCAATCTTCCTGCCTCAGCCTCCCGAATTGCTGGAATTACAGGTGTATGCCACCATACCTGGATGAATTCTTTACTTTCATTTATATTCCATTGGCTACGAGTCCACTGGCCAGATCCACTATAAGGGAGGGGGAGGTAGGGTGCCAGAAATAATTTTTCTGTATGACTATTCTGAATATTGCACAAGACATACTTACTTCATTGTTTGGCTGGACACAGTGGTGCATGCCTGTAATCTCAGGGACACAGGAGGCTGAAGCAGAAGGATTGCAAATTCAAAACCAGCCTGGGCAACTTAGCAAGATCCCATCTCAAAAAATAAAAAGGCTGGCAGTGTAACTCAGTGGTGGTGGTGGGGAGAATCTTGGTTGTTTTGAAATTCGAATGTAACTGGCATCTTGTGTTTTTATTTGCTAAAATCTGGCAACCCTACTGGGAAATGAAGTCTAGTATAGGTTCAGTAAGATAAGAACACAGATATGTGCATGTCACAGTGTACCTTACTGAGCCAAATACCTGTTTTTCCTCAGAATAAACTCACCCCTTCCCTAGGGAAATAACCCCCAATGTCATCTAATCATTATCATATTTAGCCCAAAGTCTCTCAGTCAGTTTCAGATAAGGTTCCTTATGGTGATTTATGCACAGAAAGAATATATTATCTGTATTTCATAAACACACCCCAAATACATTGGTAGATCAGGAGATAGATAACCAGTTGAGCCTTCCATTTATAAAAGGAAAGCAGTGAGCAGCACAGTAGTCTCTGGTCCAAAGCTCCTTTGAACTCCCATTGGTCAGAATTCTCCCACTGGACAGAGAAAACCCCTTCCCTGGCTTTTTGTTGTTTTTATACTTGGAATTAAACCAGGGATGCTTTATCTCTGAGCTACATCCTCATCCCTTTTTATTTTGAGGCAAATTCTTACTAAATTGCTGAGATTGACCTCAAACTTGGTATCCTCCTGCCTCATTCTCTTCAGTTGCTGGGATTACAGACACTTGCCTGGGGTCTTGTTTTTAAAAAAATATTTTTTAGTTAACACAATATCTTTATTTTATTTATTTATTTTTATGTGCTTGCATGTGGTAGGCAAGTACTCTACTGCTGAGCCACAACCCCAGCCCTTCCCTGGGGTCTTAATTAGAACCTGATCTTATTATAAGAAGGACTCCTTTGTTGTTTTCCATGTACCCTCTGGGAAGTCCTGAGGCCACATCTGAGATAGCCTTTAAAGAGTATGACCTTTTTGAAGAATGCTCATCTTTGGGTTGTTTGTGGTGGTACACACACACACACACACACTTGTAATCCCAGCAATTTGGAATTGTGATACTCTGAGACAGGAGGATCACAAGTTCAAATGTGATGGCACATGCATGTAATCCTAGTAATTTGGGAGGCTGAGACAGGAGAACTGCAAGTTTGAGACCAGCCTCAGCAATTTAGTGAGGCCCTAAACAATTTAGCAAGACCCTGTCTCAAAATAAAAATATAAAAAGGGCTGGCAATGTGGCTTAGTGATTAAGCACTCTTGGGTTCAATCCCCAGTATCAAAAAGATAAAAAAAAAAAAAAAAAACTGCTCACATATATGTATAAAAGGGTGGGTACTGGAGATTGAACCATGGGATGCTTTACCATAAAACTATATTCCCAACCCTTTTTAATTTTTCTTTTCTTTTTTTCATTTTTATTTTTGAAACAAGGTCTTCCTACACTGCTGAGGTTTTTGCTAAATTGCTGAAGCTAGCCTTGAACTTGTGATCCTTCTTGCCTCAGCCTCCTGAGTGGCTGGGATTACAAACATGCACCACCATGCAGGCAAAATTTGCCATTTTAACTGATTTTTAAGCGTAGTTCTGTGGCATGAAATACATTTACATTGTTGTACAACCAACTCAACAGTTTGTCTCCCAAACTTTTCATCTTCCCAAGCTAAAACTCTATACCCAATTAAAGAATAACTTCTCACTCCCCCTCTTTGGTCTGGCAATCATCATTTCTGCTTTCTGTCTTTATAAATTTGACTGCTTTGGATATAAGTGGACCTCATCTATAAATGGAATCATAAGATTTTTTTTTAACTTATTTTATTTAGCATAATGTCCTCAAGTTTCATCCATATGATAGCTGGTATCAGAATTTCTTTATTTTCTTCCCTCTCCCCCACCAGTGTGATCCAGAATTTCTCTTTAATGCTGAATAAAATTCCATTGTATCATTTTTTGTCTACCCTTTCATCTGTCAGTGGACACTTTGGTAGCTTCCACCTTGTGGCTATTATGAGTAATGCTGTTATAAACATAGGAATACAAATATTCAAGTTCCTGTTTTCAGTTCTTTTGAGTATACACCCATAAGTAGAATCACCGGATCATATGGTAATTCTGTTTAATTTTCCTTTTTTAAGATATTTATTTTTTAGTTGTAATTGGACACAATACCTTTATTTCACGTATTTATTTTATGTGGTGCTGAAGATTGAACCCAGAGTCTCACAAGTGGCGAGCGCCCTACCGCTGAGCCACAACCCTAGCACCTTTCTTTTTCTTTTTTGGGCAGGGTTTCACGTGTTGCCCAGGCTGGTCTCAAACTCTTGAACTCAAGTGAGTCTCCCATCTCAGCCTTCCAAATTCTGGGATTACAAGCCTGTGCCACCACACCTGGTTTAGGCTTTCATCTTTTACTTTTTGTGTGTGGTGTTGTGGATCAGACCCAGGACCTAGTGAAAGCTAAGCAAGCATGCTACCACTGAGCTACCCGAGACCTAATTTTTTGAGAAATTGCTTGTTTTAGTTAGCTTTTTCGCTGCTGTTGATTAAAAGATCCGACCAGAACAATTGTAGAGGAGGAAAGGTTTATTTAGGGGGTCACTGTTCATGGTTTCAGAAGTCTCAATCCATAAGAGGCAAGCTCCAGTCCTCGGGGCTGGAGGTGAGGCAGGACATCATGGCAGACAAGTGTGACAGAGCGAAACAGAAAGCAGAGAGAGACTCTACTCTCCAGATATAAAATATATCTACCCCCAAGTCATGCCCCCCAGTTCCCACCTCCAGCCATACCCTACCACTTCAGTTACCAATCAATTAATCCCTATCAGGGGATTAATTAACTGATTGGGTTAAGACTCTACAACCCAATCATTTCTCCTCTGAACCTTCTTGCATCGACTCACACGTGAGCTTTTGGGGGACACCTTACATT